AGTGTATTTTAACATCAATAGTAAAACTCGTTACAATTGGATTTTTAAAAATTTAAAACACTTGCGAGGCACAGTTGTTAACAATAAATGCAATGTCTAGTTATACTGTGGAAGGCGTTAGCCGAGATTCCAAGCTACTCATTGAAATAGAAAATGAATTTCTAAAGCCTTTCAAGTTTTATCTTTCTTGTAAACTTTGGCAGCTCTAATAATTTCAGTGTATCTTATATTTTTTGAACACCCCCCCCCAAAAAAAGTATATATTACATCAATATAGAAACCTATAGTGTGTTTGTGTGTTTGGTTGCGAAACAAAGAGTTCAGTATTCGATACATGATACCGTGTTATAAAAGTGACAGTCTATCCTTTATTCGGCGGACGAAACACTTGTGGCGCAGGGTGCTATTTACTGGCTGCCCTCCCCTTCTGGTCAGTAGGTAAAAACTAGTGATGGCTATACCCGAACCCTGGGGGTCTTTAACCTGATTATTTAGTCTACAGGTGGATAAGGCGTTTTTTCGTGTTAAAAATTGTTATCCCTAATTAGTTACTCCTAATCTGTGGTCATCTTCAGGAAAATTCTGAAAAGTGCTTTATGTTGTGGTAGGAAATAGGATTCGAACCTAGATCTTGTGAGAAAAGCTTGTATATGTTATGACTATTCGATTAACTATCTGATTGCTTTCAAGATGAGTATCCAGATCTTGCTGACGTCTTTTCTAGATTGGGTGACTGTCTTCCTAACGGAGGAAAAGATCTACATGTAACTAATTGATAGCACACTTAGTCACTCTCCCTAAGAAAGATAGAAAAAGCCAGCAAAACCTGGATACCCCTCTTGAAATCATAGTGTTATGCGAAGGTATCAACACTCTGATTAGCTGAATTACGATATGTTTCACTTCCTTTTAGTTTTTTTTTTAAATCAAAGAAACGGCAGGACTTACAATTGCATCACAACTAGATATTTATTTCAACAGGAAAACTTACTATCGTTCACGTACAGTCTAGTACATTTTCCATTTTTTTAAAGCTCTACACAGCACATCGAGAAAATTGTAGATGTAAGATTGGAGTAGCCTTACGTTGAGGCCAACAGAAAGAATTATTACACTAATAATAGAAAATATGAGTGAGATTTGTGTCTGTCACGAAGCTTTATCTATGCATGAAAAAATTAACAAAAAAAATCAACAGCAGAGGACAAAAGAGTTGGGTAAGCACATGAAGGCCTGTTTCCCAGTGGATGCACGTGAAATAGTCCTGTATCCAAGCTTGCCAGCTCAACAACAAGTACAAAAATTAACAATTGGCTAAACATTTAAGGGTCGCTTAAACGCTTTTTTATAATATTTTATAGAAAAGTATTAGGACAGGAAAAGTTTATCTCCACCATTAGGTATTAATTAGGAACAGGATACAGACAATTAAAATGCGAGTTAGTTAGTTTGTATTGCACACTGGCCTATCCGCACTGTGACCACCGCAAGGATCGAGCCCAGAAATTTACATAAATAGTTAATATATGAAATTATCTAATCACAAAAGAAGATGCGAATGTACTTTTCTTCCTAACTCTCACAATGGGTTCCTGGTGGACCAGCGGTAAGTTTGAGGGCATGTAACGTTAAAAATTATGTTTCGATACCCGCGGTGAACAGAGCAGAGACAACCCGTTGTGTAGCTTTGTACTTAACAACAAACAAACTCTCACAATAGTTTGTTTGTTTGTTTTGAATTTCGCGCAAAGCTACACGAGGGCTATCTGCGCTAGCCGTCCATAATTTAGCAGTGTAAGACT